GGCGGGCCAGCGTCGCAGGAGGAGGGGGACGGTGACCCGGGCGGGGAGCGGGGTTAGGCCTATCCCGCCACCTCGGGGTCGGGGAAGAGCGCCGGCGCCAGCCCTTCCCGATCTCCGAGAGGCCGGGGCACCTGCGTGCGGAGGCGCGTTCTCCTGGCCCTGTCGGAGCCCATGCCGGCGTTCCTAGACAGGCCGTGGGGGCCCTGGCTGGGCTCCCGGACCCCGCCTCTGCGGGGGCTCGGCGCCGCCTCTCCTGCCCAGGTAGCCGGTTCTCCACTGCAACTGGGCTTCCTTACAGGTGGGGAGACCCGGCAGTCCCTCAGTTCCGGACTCGAGGGAGACTTGGTCACTCCCGGGGTGTCACGAGTTTGATAAACTTCGATGTCGTTCACTCTGGGCTTGATGACATTTCTGCGACTTCATGCTTCCAGTTCAGTCTTGATGTTGACACTTGTCGAATGGGGGAGAATAAGAGAATGGGAGACGTTTTTTTTAACTCAAAAGACACCGGTTTCGTGTCCGCCAATTTAAGAATGCCTCTCACTTACTTCCCCAAGCCATTTTTGAACTTAATGTCGAAATGGCCTAGGGAGCAGAGGGAGGGAGGGAAATCAGTACTCTAACCACAGTTCGTGGGAAGCACAAGCCTGGCCATGGTGGTGGTTAACTGTGTGTGTGTCGGCAGTCTCTTCTCGATTGGGTCATATTTGGCTTCTTTTATGGTAGTAGCAGTTTATTCGCTTCATTTAGCAAGCATACATTTAGCGCCTGCTGTGTGCTTGCATGCCATCTGCTTTTCCAAAGCTCACCAGTTCCATAAACTGCTTGAGACTTTTGGCTAAACGCCAAGCCAAGTTAGTTAAAAAGTTTAAATGTCAGAAATCGTGTTGCTTTCATTCCAAAAATATAAAAACAACAAAACAAAAAAAGATACTTTTCTTCTTGGAGTTTTTTTTTTTTTTTTTTCTTTCATTCAACAATTACTTGGTTGTGCCCAGGGCCCGTGAACTAATGAGGCAACCTTGGCCTATTCTCTTGTAGTTTACAATTTAGGGAGAGTTAAACATTTATTTGTGTAAATGACTTTTTCAGTGTTGAGATAAAAATTCTGATAAACATGGTGAAGGAAGTACTGGGGTCTTGCCTACTTAGTGAGTTAGGAGAGCCTTATTTAATTGAGTGTAATTTTAAAAGAAAACTTAAGCTCATCTATTTTTGCTTACATTTGTAATTATTTCTGCTCAGCTTCCTGAATTATATTCAAGAGCAACTTATTTTTCAAGTTACTTACCAAACACTTTTTCAATGAAATTGAAAAGCTTGCAGATATTGAAATGGGTACTAATGTAACATATGTATGAAATTTGCTGTTTCATAGCTTGTGTGTAGGCTAAGTGAATAAATTTTGAGAGCCTCCCTTCCACCTGAGTTCCATTTCCTTATATCCGCTGGACTCAGTGGAAGTTCTTCAGTGAGGCCTGAAACTTTCTTGTTATGTACCCAGATGTAATATTGCTAAATGGTTATTATGTTCAGTATGAGGTTTACACATTATTTGGGAGCTCTTTTAATTAACCTAAAATCAGTGATAGGCAGTCTAAGCTAAGATTAGAAAACTGTAGAAACAGTTACTATATTTTAATTGTAACCTATTCAGTCTAGTTATTTGGAACCTAAGAGTTTTAACTTGTACTTTAGTTGTCTAGTATTGCTCCTGAAAACCTTACATTCTGAATGCTTGCTTCAAAATACCTTTCCCCCCCAAAAAATGAGTAATCTTTTTACACTTAAAAGATCTCAAAACTGCCCTCAGTCATTTTAGCAAAAGTCTGCATTAGTGTATCCTAATCCTTTTTTACCAAGTAAGTTTTATTTTACATCCCTGTAGTCTTCATCCTGAAAGTTCTGTATTTTACTTTATTTTTAATGTATCAGAAGTATTATAATTGATTATGAGTAATTAGAGAAGTTTATGACTTTATTGGAAATTATAAGCACATCTTAAAATGAAAGCTTTGAAATAAAGGAAATCTTTCTCCTTTTAGAAGGAAATTAAAAAGCAAGCTTTTCTCAGATATTTTTTTCTTTTTGTTGTCAACTTGTTAAATGTAAGACCGCCACAATTTATGGAGATTTTCTTTTTTAGTAAGGTGAGCCCATTTTTTCTTGATTTTTTTTTTTTTTTAATTTATCTATTTATTTGTTGTGATTTTTGAAGCCACCAGGCAGGTCCAGAACTTGAACTGCTGATGATCATGTGGAAATCCAGCTTCTTAACCACTATGCCACCTGCTGGCCTGGGCCCATTTTTTTCTTAGGTCTCCTAACATAAAGAACTGGCTTATCCCAGTGCTAAATCCTCATGGCATAGTTAATTTGTTAAAGTGCTATACTTTATTGCTCAACCTGTCATTGTTTATCATGGACTTTTTAAAATTTAATTCCATTTGTTATTATTATTTTTTAAATTTGAGCAGGCAGAGACAGAAAAAGGGAAGGTGAAAAAGCAAATGGCCAGTCCGGGACTTGAACCACGGTTGGCCATATGGGAATCCAGCGCCTTTAACCACCATGCCACCTGCCGGCCTGTCATGGGCTTTTAGACACACACACACACACCCTCTGGTATCTCCCATCTTTAGTATTATGGTTGTATTGAAAAATACAGCTACTTTTTTTTTTTAAGGTTTTTTTTTTTTTTGCTATAGGGTATGTGCGCTCACTGGTGAGAGAGAGACAGAGAGAGACAGAGAGGGAAAGTGAGAAATCACCCCCCAGAGGGGGTGGCTATGCAGCAATCCCTTCTCCTCCATTCTCCTCCTGGTATCTTGGGCATGAACACACATGCCCCTGGTGTGAGTTTTAGCCACTGGGTCTAGTACTCAAACCATGGTTGGCCATGTGAGAGTCCAGTGGCATAACTACTATGCCATCTACTGGCCCCAATAAGGCTACTTTTAATTTTTAATAATAAAATATTTTCTAGCATATAGAAAATAATAGAAGATAACTCATAGTCTCATGGTACATTTTTTTTTTTTTGAGAGATTTTCACTGTAGGTCGCGTGCGCTCGCCAGACAGACAGAGAGAGACATAGAGACAGAAAGCGAGAAATCACCCCCCAGGGGGGATGGTCACGCTGCAATCCCTTCTCCTCTCGGGATCTTGGACACGCACGCACATGCGCCCGGCGTGAGTTTTAAGCCACTGGGTCCGGGACACAAACCGCGGTCGACTACTTGGGAGTCCAGTGACATAGCCATTACGCTAACTGCTGGTTCCCCATATTTTTTCCTTTATGAGAGGGAGAAAGGGGGGGAGAGAGAATAAAAGTAATAATAATATTATTATTATTATTATTATTATTATTTGCCGTAGGGCATTTCCTTACCAGAAAAAGAGACATAGAGGCAGAGAGAGAGGAAGCATCCCCCTGTGGGGTGTGATTATGCTACAGTCCCTTTCCAGAATTTAGGAAGACACTTCTCGTTACTTTGCTTGCCGCCTGAGGACAGAGTTGAGACTTAACAGAAGTTCTATTCTCTAGACTTTGCTACTGCACCACTGCTGAATTGCTAGAAACGGCTAGTCCTCCCAACTGCTCCTGATTTCAGTTCATTTCTTTAGTGTATCCATTTGTTTTGTATTATTAAGGTGGTATGTGTTCATCTAAAATTAACTTAACAGTTAGCAGGTATTTGAATGTCTTCTACTTTAGAATAAATGCCACACACTGCCCTCAGCACTGTGTTTTCAGTGATGAGCAAAGGAAGGTGTCTGTCCTCATAGGGTTTACAACTGAGTAGGAGGATCAGGGACTAAATCAGCCTGTGTGACCTAAATTTAGAGCATCCAATTTTGACTAGTAAGTCAGGGAACACTTTTTTTTTTTTTTTTTTTTTTTTAATATAAATGAGTCAAACTGAAACCCAAAGGATGAATTAGTTAGTTTAAGGATACTTTGCTAAGCTCTAAGACAGGGAGGCTGGCAAATTTGGTATATGGTTGTAGAAAGAACTCTTGATTGTTTGAGGCTGATGTTGCTGGAGAGTTGGATAGGGCCACATTAGGGCGTACAGTTGTGTGTGTTTAAAACATTTAGTTGGAGTGGCCGTTACCTTTAGAAAAGTGCACAAGTAGGTGTTTATGAATGAATTGCATGAATTTCACAAAGTGGACATACCTGTGTACAAATGCTCAGATCAAAAAATGAGACCATTGGAGGGAACCAGCAGTTAGCGTAATGGCTATGTCGCTGGACTCCCACGTAGTCGACTGTGGTTTGCGTCCTGGACCCGGTGGCTTAAAACTCACGCCGGGCGCGTGTGCGTGCGTGCTCAAGATCCCGAGAGGAGAATGGAGGAGAAGAGATTGTGGTGTGACCATCCCCTCTGGGGGGTGATTTCTCACTTTTTGTCTCTATGTCTCTCTCTCTGTCTGGCGAGCACACGCGCCCTATAACGAAAACCTCTCCAAAAAAAAAAAAAAATAGAGACCATTGGGAGAAGACTGCTGCACTTGAGCTGTGAACTGTTGCTTTCAGGGACTAAAACTAATGAAGATTTTCTGCTGAGACTTCATCCTCCAGACCCCATTCTAGAGTGGTAGGACATCCCCTATATCCTTCTATCTGTCTCCTTTCATTTTCTGTAATTAAAAAATTTAAAATAATTATTTATTTTATTTATTCATTCAATCATTTTCATTTGACCAGAGAAAGACAAACACACAGAGAGAAGGAAAGTGAGAAAGTAAGCCACCAGGTCTAGGTCTTGAACCATGGTCAGCCATGTGGGAGTGTCCAACGCCTTAACCACCACACCACCTGCTGACCCTTTTCTTAAAGAAAAATTTTAAGGTAAAGTATTTTCTTGGCTCTCAGATCCTCCTTTATCTTGCTAAGTCTCACCTTTCTCCATTTAGCAAGCACACTGTGCATTTTTCATTTTTTGCCTTTTTAAAAAATATATATATATATATATTTTTTTCTTTTTCTCTTTCTTTGTTTTCTTTTTCTTTTACTTTCATCACTTTGTTCCTCAGCCTTCATGCACTGAGTGTCTAGACAGGTCTAAGTGAACAGTAGCCAAACATCTAATACTGTTAGGGTCAGAATATTCTGAATCTGCTGCACAAGGGGAGAAAAACGGAAGTGCAGAGAGATTGCAGATCACCTCCTCCTGCATGCCTCTGAACACTCAGATTGAACTTCAAGAAATTAGGAAGAAATGTATAACCCATTAGATGACCAGAAATCACC